TATCTCTATATATCTCTCACTATGCAGTTCGAGTCATCGAATATTATAACCTTTGGGATAATTATATAGCCTGTTAAATTCTTTATAACTGATAGAATATTAGACAATGCATGGCTTTAAAAAGGATTAAAGAAGGAAATACTCGATAATGTTTATATGAAACGACTTGGCATGAAACCAACATAAATAAATCTACAATCATATTCATACAAAGTTTTCATTCGTTTTAACCATGTATATGGAATATTCATAAATCAATTTAAACTAAGTTTGCTCAACTTACCGACTACGGTTGGCTCCAAGTCGACGAAGACGGCTCTTGGCACGTGCTTGCCAGCTCCAGTCTCGCTGAAGAAGGTGTTGAAAGAATCATCACCACCTCCAATGGTCTTGTCACTTGGCATCTGGCCATCAGGCTGGATACCGTGCTCGAGACAGTACAATTCCCAGCAGGCATTACCGATCTGGACTCCGGCCTGTCCGACGTGGATAGAGATACATTCACGCTGAAAGGAGAAAAAATGAAAACATTATACACAATGTATTTACTCAAGCGTAACATCTCGGTTCTTTCCGTACAAATAAAGTACTATTGGTCATCGGCATAATTTGTTTTAAGGGGAGGTAACAGTCACACTAATTTCATTTTGTTAAAAGTAAATTACTAGTATACACATATGTGATCAAGCTATATCAAGTCAAATGTCATTTATATCAAACACCCGGACGTTATGATTATGTATTTTATGATACACTAAGATCATGCGACATGATTACTGCTTTATTTTCAAGAAAGTTATCAATCAGTCGACATATTGATTAATCAGTAAAGAGATTAACTGCTGAATGAAAAACGTTCCTATGTATACATGTACTCGTATGTTCATGTCGCATTTGAAATATCTATATATGAGACGAACGAAATTAATTGTAATTAAGATTATACATGTATTTAAGTCAGATCAATATTTCGATTTTGATTTATTCGATTTTCTCTTTGATTTATTTTTCATTGATTGATTTAATAAAACTAGTATTTTGCCTAAATCATAACAACAAAAATGTTAACAGTATTATACCATATACATTAATTGTAAAGGCGGAGAAATAAATAAATACACTGTATAAAATTACACTTTCATTCTTTATATTTGTTCAATAGCGTGAAAATATCTCGTGAAATTCAATTGATCAATATTTGTTTACAATTTCAAGTAAAGTAAATATATTTTATTGTGATAAATGCATTCAGAAGTATACGCCCGAATATATTTTATTTTTAACTTTTATAATCTCACAGCGCTTTAAGTTGTCTTAATTTTTATTCAAGGAGTTATAATATTTCAACATGTTAACACATGAAATATATAGGTTGACATGCTTTCATTCACTCCACTCTTATTATCAGGCACTTGACATTGAGAAGAATTGGAATTTAATCTTAACATATTCCGGTATGATTAAGTGTTCTTACAGTTTTATCTAAAAATACTTCCTTAATTATTTCTCATTATGCCCTGTTTAGAATCACCGATTTACAAATATAGCATAATGTTGAATTGTGAAAATAATACAACACTTAAATGTAATGAAAAATGTTTTAACTGTCAGTATCGCATTTTGTGCAGTATTCTATTTCATTTTACACAGCCAATAATTTGTTCAGCTAGTTTAAACAGGTTTTAATGCAGAAAAATATTTCAACTATGAATTACGTTGTTGATTTGTTCTAATTTCATTGTAGTGAAAAAATAGAGAAAAAAACATAGCAGAAAAATACGTATAAAAAACAAAGTGCACTTACCATGTTTGTTGTTTAGTTGGTTTGGTTGCTTAAAGAAAGCTATCACAGTAACTCACAAAGGACTTGATGTGTCGACGTGAGAAAACAAATGGTAAAGCACACATAGCAATTTCTGGTATTTATTGGAGTTTGTATGGGCCGTTGCATAGCACAAAAAGATTCGTCAATTCCATTGGCTGACCGGAACATGTGACTTTTTACTTTTGTTTTCTTTATTTTCATTGGTGCAATTTTAAAGCGGAAATGGCACCTTTGTAGCGAGTTGCCAAGCGTTAAAATAACAAAGCCGGGTACAATGATTGCTATATTATAATCCTATTGGTATTTTTTGCAGTGTATACTAAAACATGACGTATCTTGACTTTCCCCCAGACATAATGTTTTAATCGGATAGTTGTAAACTTTCAGTGTATGCCAGCTCTTATCGAATCGTGCAATATTTCAATTCAGATTTCAAATTAATAGGATTGGTATAACTATTGATTATAAATAAAATGTATAGAATCTACAATAATATTCCGTTCAACCAATTATAATAGGAAAATTACAAACCATGTTTCAAGTTAGCAGATCTCGCCGCCAGCACATTGGGTTATCTTAAGTGGTTATATTTCTATGAAAAAAGTAGATCTGTTACAAAAAGGTAATTGTGTTTGACCTTTTTTTAAAGCATAGTTTAAGTATCACGACAATGCGATGAATTTGATATCTGCCAAACAATCCAGGCATTATAAGGCAAGCTTCCCGTTTAGAAGTGCATTTAGTTATTTCTACACAATTAGCATGTTTACGCTTAAACTAATAGCACATTAAATTGTATGAGGAATAACATCAAACAGGTTGAAATGTTTTAACCAAATGTTATATGTACAGTATCATTTGTGCAGAGCAATTACCTTTTTACAAGAACAGTATTATTTCTTTTACAACTATTTTAACTTCTTTTGCTCAACACATTTCAGGAGCAACCAAAATCTTTATCTCCCATAGTGTGTCACCCTGCAGAGGTTTTACTGCATTATCAACAGTCTAATTCTGCTTAAAAAGTTTTTCTCGATTCATTATTGTAATACAGTCAAACTTGTCGAAAGTGACCAGCCTTTGAACTTTGGATAATACTTTAATTTTTATTGCATGGCGCTTTCTAAAATTGGAATTCTTGGTACTGTTATTGTCCGAATGGAACAATACTTAAACCAAAGTTAATTTATGCTTTGTGTATTTGCTTCTTCCCTAATATTGCGGTGATTTTAGCCCAGTTTAAGCTGTATTTGACGATACTTATAATTATCTTTAGCACTGGAAGCAGACGACCACTGAAATAAGAAGCAATGTTATACTTTCAGGAGAATAACATGTTTGTACAAAAAGTTCCTGTATGTTGAGATGAACATGTATGATATTAACAGTCTTCCTTACTGAACCGAATATCATGAATACTTCAATTCGTATATTATACCTAAACTACCAAAGTTTTTTTTTATTTAAGAATTAAGTAAACACGTCAACGTTTGAAATCAATATCCCTGTTCGTTGAATAAGTGACAGATTTAACTTTACGGAAACCTCTTAAAGTATAAACTCTGAAAAAGATTAAATAAACGACCAAACACTGCAATTTAATATTTCAAGTTGAAATAAACCACTTGAAAGAAAATAATGTTAAAAGGTAAAATTGCTTTCCCATGTACACAAAGCGATTATATTTTGTAGTTTGGTTTATTATAACTTATAAACCGAATAAAAAAACTCCTTAATTGTAGCGGGGTCCTTTTGTGTTGGTTTACACAATTATATAGTAATAATCCCGTAAACTGATCGTTAACCAGTACATTGTGAAAAATGGCCGTTTTCATTGAAAAGCCTCCTGTTACAAGTTCAAACTGCTATGAAACTATGAAAAATGCTTCAATACTGATGAAACTTGGCACAAATGTTGACTGGACCATAGCCTTTGTAACAGCATGCTCAATCTTAAATTTCCTGTTACCATGGCAACGGGGAAACGTCTCAAAATTGCCAAAATCACTATTTTGCATTGTTTTTTTTTCATCAAAACTAATTTCAAAGTGCTGCAACTTCTCAATGGATTGAGATAGAGTAAAAGGCTTTTCAGCGTTGATTACACGTTACCTTACGATTGACCTGAGGACATTTTGAACATGTCCAAAATATTTTTGGTGATAAGGGGTCCGCCCCCCTTTAAACCACCTTAACAGAAGGGGGCACATCCCTAATGTACCTTTTTGATAGGGGCCGGCGCCGAAAGTGATCACCTTTTTAACAACATTTCCCAAACGAAACACAGTGTAGGGGGAAGGCTAAATAGGGTATTTAGGCCTCAAAAAGGGGGAAGGGGTCGAAAAGCCGTTAACACCCGTCTATATGAAATAACGGGTTACAGTGTGAACATACTTAATTTATCTATGATTCTAAAATATAAAGGTTAAATAAACCTTTCACGTTTTAGTAAAACGAAGCCTGTATTTTAAAATCGGGAATGGTGGATTTGACGGACAAGCATCTACTTGCCTTTTTATCTTAATTATAACAAACTTTAAATAAAATTGTTTGATATGACATTCTACATAATTATATAATAAATTGTTAAAGTAATATAATCTGATAAAGATATTTAATAGTATTATTACCACTTTACATGTATATATTTACGTAAATAATAACTGATTAAAGAATCCATTCATACGAGTAAATAAGCTTAACAAATCTGAGTTACAATAGAACAACAGGACAACAATTGTAGTTAACGACAATAGACGTGCCATATGTAAATTTAGAGGAAACCGTTATAATTTATAAATACAGAATTTATTTTAGTTCTATATTGTGTAGGAAGCTATAAGCTTACAGCCACACTCTCAAAATCCGGTCCTTTGGAATCAAACAGTATTGTTGTAAAGTGTAGTTGTCGTGTTAAAAAAGGCAACAACCAGCTTTAACCCTGACGTGGGAATAAATTACACACTAAATTATATTTGCCATTGAATTCCTCAATTTATTAAGTGATACAATGTGTGATACTAGTATAAATTTCATTATTAATAATTATACTTTTTGCCCTCTTTGAGGTTTTTCCCAACTATTTTTTAGGAAACTCCTTTCTATCCTTCAATCTTGTTTTGAAAAATTAGTTCACTGTATTATTTACATTGATAGGTAGTATATGTTAGCATGTACAGGCATTGCTGAAATATTGTTAAACAACAACCAAAAAACATAGCAATGTCAAATACTGATTGTCCAGCCTGTACTAATTATCATAACATAAGTAACGACACGCGCCGACTGATATCAAATTTAAAGTGGATTGGTCAACAACAAGCACTTTTTCTGTAAAATATTGATTAAAAAAGCCACAATAAAATGCTATTACATGTACATTTGTATTTGGATATTCTTAAACAAGTATTTATTGAAAAAAATGTCGATAGACTTCTAAGTGATTAAGTATGAAAATTTACATGATGAATTTTTCGGAATAATAATTATTTGTTTTAGAAAAAAGTATTATCTGTCATTAACAATTTGTAATATAATGTAATGTAGTACGCTTGCTTAAACTTGCTAATTCTAGTGCTAAAAAGTGCACTCTTAAATCTAATACTGTATATGTGACCCTGTATATTCTATGTTAGATATGTCAACAAGACTATTGGCTGGCACCTTAAATCGAACTTCTTAACAAATTGATTGAGAAGAAAAGTTTCTAGACCTTACAGATTGGTCAGACCTTAACAAAAATGGTGTCACGCTACAGTACAGTCCTAGTCACGAGTATTTTTATGCGTCGCCAAAAGATTTTTGTTTCAAGAAAAAAATAATTTTGTTAATTGTTTTGGTAGTGTTCTGTTCTGATTTATTTAAATAACATTAAACTACATACAGAAAAATCCAATTATAACGATATCGCTTATAACAATATACACCGCTTATAACGATATATACCGCTTATAACGATATACACCGCTTATAACAATATACACCGCTTATAACGATATATACCGCTTTTAACGATATCGTTTATAACAATATACACCGCTTATAACGATATATACCGCTTATAACGATATACACCGCTTATAACGATATACGCCGCATATACCGATGCTGTTGCCGCAGTCCCGACTCTTGTTTTCAAAATGGTCGTTCTCGGATGTAACGATATCGGGATATAACGATATAAATTTGGCGGACCCTGAGTATCGTTATCAGCGGCGTTTACTGTATAATGATAGCCTAGGCATGTGCACGGTGGAGACTTTGACATAACAAGGCAGTTTTCTAAACGCCTTCCAACAAAATCACGGACTGTCAAAATTTGGTCGGATAGCTTTCGGAAAATGTACTGCTCCAATCACTCAACCAAGCGTGTATGCTTTAATGCAATCTTTTGCAAATTGTCCGACATAAATAGCATTATTTTCATCCGAGTATGCAATACTGAATGGAAACGGGGCTGGACTTGTGTCGTCTGCAACTGTCATGGTTGAGATCAGTTGACAATTTGAAGAGAGATGGTATATTTTATGTGTAGCAAAGCTGCAGACGAAAACCGCACCTGTCATATTGACACACAAACCACGTGGTTCGACAAGGTCATAATCGTTAAAAGAGGCAATGACGTCACCATCAGTATTCATACAAAAAACAGTGTGACTGTCTTTATCAGAAATAAATAGTTTGCCCTCGGTCATATCCATGGTGATGGACAAAGGCTGGAACAGTTGACCGATGTTAAAAGTTGCGCATCTAATTTTTTTCAACAATCTCCCATTCATGTCAACGATTTCTATTTTTCCTAAATGTGGAAAAGTAACGAATAATTTACCATCGTGGTAAAGAACCGCCCGGCACATTCCATTTGTTTCAATATCTCGTTTGTCTGTAAACGAAGATGGTAATGTGTAGTCCATGACACGCAGTTTATTTTCTTTAGGAAGTGTCAGAACCAACTCTCCATTGACTTTGTCTTTGTCGCAAGTGGAAACTTGGTCACTGACCATAGTTACGTCAAATGGCGCTGGCATCACAGGTACGCTGATGACATCAGTATTGTTGAAGATATCAACCACTTTAATAGTGGAATTAGCAAAATCTACGGCCAGTAGGTGACGCTCTGACAGCAGAACTAAACCGCTAATTTGACATGGCTTTTGGTCTGTTTCTGTTTTCATGTTTATTGTTTTAACACCAGTGACATCACTTTTTGATTCAGAATCGATGATTTGTATGTTCCCTAGCTCTGATATCTTTTGTTTGAAGTCCATAACATCCTCTGATGGTTTGTAAATGTATCTATCAACTTCATTCTCCATTTCAATGCTTGCTAAGCCGGTATTTAAGGCATCAACGATTTCTTTCGACATTTCTATTTTTGTAAATATTCGGGAACTATTTCCTTCTTCTTTACGTTGGTCGTAATCTAAAATAGTATTCTGTAACTGCTCATCAATGCGTTCTTGCTTTGACATTAGTTCTTTTATCTTTTCTTTGTTGTGGTTTTCAATTTCAGAGATTTTACGGTCGAAGTCTCGTTCAAAACACTCGAAAAGCCTGTTTAGTTCATCACGTTGTCTTTTGAACTGTGCTTTTGCGTTGATTTTCATAATTTCACAAACCTTTAAGTTTGATTGGGCTTTTCCTTTGCTTATCTTTAATCGGTTTTGTATGTCATCTAAGTCTTCTTCGAACTTATTGCACTTTTCATCAAATTTGAATTCCGGTTTTACTATCAGTGACGGTATATAGGCTGGTGCGTGGCAATTTTTATGGTCGATTGTACAACATGCCTGACATGCTAGCTTGTTGCAAGGCATGCACACATATTTTATAATTTCTTCTTTGTGAAAAGGGCATTCATCAGTACACGAAATGCTTCTTTCGAATGGCGTCCGAGCGTTTGCCTGATACGGATATCGTGAAGTTATTGACGGCACTTTAACTTCAAACCAATCTCTGCGATAGATAACAGTGCTGGTATCCGAATCGCTAAAACATGACGCACTATCACTGAAAATGTTAGGGTTACCGGACATGGGCGCCTGTTCGCTCGGATAATTAACATCATTTATTGATAACATTTTGACTTCTTGCCAGTTTCTGATACCAGAATCGTTAAAACACGATGCACTGTCACTGTAATTGCAAGGGTGAGCGGATATGCCCGCCTGTTCATTTTGATGATTACCATCGGTTCCATCCGAAATTGACGTATTCGAATTATTAACACATGGCTGTACTTTTGAAATACTTGCACTGTTTTCGTCTATGCACTGATTATCCAACCAATTGTGTATACAAGGGTTTGAGTTCAGGTTGTTAGGCTCAAATTTAGAATCATTGGTAAGGTTTTCTTCTAAAATTGCTTCGTTTGAAGGGATTATTTGGTCTCTTTCATGCGTTTTTTCTTGAACAATATCCTCTGGCTTGCTGTCTGAGCCAAAAGAATGGAAAGTTTCGTCGTCATCGTCATTTTCATACGTGCAAACATGATGGAGTTCTTCTGATTCGTCTTTCCCCTTTTTATCAGAATGTCCGTTAGATTCAGCCATTCTGAAAATAAGAAAATGGGGATCCAATTAAGTTTATAAAATACTACTTTTGATAAATATCTATGTAACAAAGATAGGTTTACTTTTCATACAAATAGATAAATAAATAAATATATGAATAAATAAATAAATAAATTTTATTTATTTAAATAAATAAATAAATAAATAAATAAATATTTTTACAGTCTATTCAGAGTTTTAAGAATTCCAGTATCTATTGTATATACAAACAAACGATGGTAAAGTCTTTAAGCAAGCATGTTAAGGGTTAACGATTTTTTAATAACAATGCATAAAATCACACGACAATTAATAACTATTAATAGATAAAGCTACTTAGTTTCTCCATTTACACATGACAATAAAGAACAATTAAAATAGAAAAAGCTCTCACCCACGTAAAATAAACAAAACAATGAATGTTTAATGAAGCTAGAAAAATCGTTAATAAATAGAGAAATAAATAATGAAAAACACCGTCTGATTATACGAAAAAAATGCGTATATTTGACAAAACAGACACCGTTTAAACCTTCATTACATTACAGATACATGCATATTTTTGGTAACAATCTGCAAAATAGGAGATCGACATATTTAAAACAATTATTATTATTGCAGTATTCTACAATATGTACATACATATTTAAATGATTTTTATACATGTATACAACATTTCATAAAGAAAGACCATTCAGGTACGAAAACGAAATAGACGAGAAAAGATGGCTGTATTTTTAGTATTGCATGTATGTATACCCATAATTACATGTATAAACTACCACACTTGCTTAAGTTCCAATTCTGTTTCCGAATTACAAGACATTGTATAAATATTGAATACTAAAATGCATATCGATTTGTCTAAAATATTTGCAAACAAAATTGTCCAAAACTGAAAACAGGAAGTCTATACATTTAAAGTATGTACTATACATATGTATATAGTGCACGCACTATTTAACAGTATGGACGTTTTTTTCTAGGTCATTTTTAAAATAATTCATGCAGTACAATGTAAAATAAAATTTAAAAAATGCAACTTACCGTTAACAAGTACTTGTATCTTAATCAATGTTCATACTCTTAACTTAATGCTTAATATAATTTTCTCTTTTTAATGTAAAATAAATAATAATACAACATACGTTTAGTGTTAACGCCTATGGAAGATTGATTCCGTTGAACACATAGAAACTGAAGGAAACCCCCATATACTTTCTGTTTGTTATGTAGAAAATATGTATTTATTTTGTTCAGGTCAGAAGTTTACGCACATAAATTCCCAGTTTCAGGTTTTTAATCCATATTTTTTAACATGAAATTATAGCCTAATTTATTGAGTTTATTTATTTATCTATCTATTTAGTCAACATTCTCTATTAACAGTATACTACATTTAAATAATGGACATATCACAATATATTTTTACCAACGTTATACACAATCTTCCATGTGCTAACTGTTAACATTTGCGTGTTTAGTTTTTTATGTATTATATTCCATCCGAGGCACTAACGCTCCTGTCAATGCTCTCTTTTAATTCTCTCTGTTAAAGGCTCTATTTATGCTCTCTTTTAATGCTCTCTATTAATTTCTTTCTGTCGAAGGCTCTATTTATGCTCTCTATTAATGATCTCTATTAAAGCTTTCTATTAAAGGTCTCTATTAATGCTCTCTATTAATGCTCTATTCATTCTCTCTGTTAAAGCTCTCTTTAATGCTCTCTATTAAAGCTCTTTATTAATGTTTAATTAAAGGAATTCAGTTTCCACTAGCAAACTAAGATAAGATTACAAACGGTACGAGGCTATTTCACATGTAATGTTTTTTGCTTTTCAAAGGGAATACAATTAGAGTCTTTAAGACCGAAAGAGATTTCTCTTTACAAGTTATCACAAAGGTTAAATCGAGGGCTCAACGCGAAACTAGTCTATGTGCATTTTTTAAAAATGTTCAGGAGAAGGAAAAAACTTTCTCATTTTTTACATTTTCAGAATTTTTCAATATAATATAGATATAGTATGTATTTAAGAGAACTACAACCATACTTATTTCAGTTTTGATAATCAGTTCATTAAAAATGATGTTTTAGTAAGAAATGTCACATAGAATAGTTTCGCGCCAGAATAATGTCATATATGGCTTGAATATTGAATGTGAAACTATTCTATGTGATTTTATTAAAAAAGCACACTACTGAGTCAGGGTATGTCAAAATAATAATATATGATAGAAAAACAGTTTTTTAATTATCTTATGAAAAATTCACATAGACTAGTTTCGCTCTGAATTTTGTGAAAAAATTGACAAGAAATTTTGTGCGTAACTAGTCTAAGTGACATATTTAGGATATGAATGTATGGCAATTAAATGTTTATTTCTCTTTTTTTTCTATTTCTATAAAGTTATATCAATTAAAACATACAGAGCTTTGAAAATGTTCATGTTATATCAATTTTTTAGCAAATTGATTTAATTAACATGCATTTTTGTGCTTTCATTTAGAGATACAGTCGGTAGAAATGAAATTCAGTTCAGGCTTGAAAAGAATTATTTTATAATTTGATTAATGTTAATTAAACTCATACAGTGCAAACAATAGAAACATTACTTATATTTTATATATATATATCTGTATCATAGAAATCAGTATTAATTACATGACTTGGTTTCACAAACTACTGTTTATAAATTCTTAATAGGATATGACAAATGTTATCCTTACTCCTACAATATGACAATTTTTCTTCTTACTTACAAGCAGACAAGACAAATGTAAGTCATCTTCAAATATTTTTTTAAATACAAAGGTAATTTAGTAAAGGGCCATCCCCTTCTTCCCCCACTCCTCTCCCAGACAGCAATGGCTGCCATCTTAAAATGACGCAGTTCACAGAAGCCTGTTAACCAGTCTTTGATGAATCTGTGCACCATACCATGTCATTCAGCTCACTTTTGATGAAGAAAGAAATTCTATTTTGCTATATAGAATTTCTATCCAATGAGGGAACATAACTAATAGAGTTTCGAAGTTGAAAAGGGGCATAACTCCTAAAAATTTTGCTTGCAGGATAATGCTCTTGTCTAACATCTTTCTTTTGATATGATATGAAAGCGTTCCAAGTTTTATATTGAAACCTTAGATGGTCTTTAAATCATTAAACTTAATGAGCAATTTTAATAAAAATTGTATGTTAAAAAGGGGCATCTGACACCAAATATTTAGCTTTTAGATTAATGCCTCTTGTGTCACAATGGAATCTTACATTGATAAGCAAATATTCAAAGTTTCAAACTTTTAAATTGTTTGCATTTGGGACTGCAGTCAAGATTTTTCACATTCCCAACAATAACAAGACCGACTCAGCCATTTTTACAGCTCAACATTTTTTATTCGAAACAGAAGCCATTTAAAATTTCGTTTTAATGCATACATCTAGGACTAGGCATATCACAATGCAACAAATCATCCATGAATCTTACATCTCTAATCTTGGGGAGTTGTAACCCAAATAATGTATTCTATCTGCTTTGGACTAGAGAAAAGAACATGATAGTTCTTCAAAACAGAAACAAATGTACATGTGTATGTAAACATTGATTTGCTATAATGATGTTAAAATTAATTCAGAAATAGAAAACTGCTGAAATATCATGATTTTATGGATCTTGTCACTTAAGTGAATACCCCCCTCTCCTAGCAATATCAGAAACAAAATCACATCATTGACCTGACAGAAGCTCATTTCCATAACTATGTCCGGCCCTTCCCGCATATGGGTGAAGAAGCTTAGACTAAGATGTATATATCAAACGTTTAACAAGAAAGTTTCTTGGATAATGGTATACACGTATTATTCAAACTGATATGATAAGCATGTTAATATTAATGGAACTCATGTTCCCAAAGATGAAATACTTTAACCAAAAAGATTTCAAAGGCAAACTAGTGGCAAGAATTTATGGAAGCAATACGTAATTAGGTTAGTTAACTGTGTTTTTTTATGACTATGTGTTAAAATTTTTAACTTATACCATGCAAGTTTTTTATGGTTTGTCATTTATTTTTGCGACCAAAAATTTCATTCATGAATTAGGTAATATTGGTATGTCACTCAATCAATATCTTTAACATTCTGTCCAGTAAGTTGTTGGACTGTGTACCAAGTTCAAGAGGATGGAGTCATTTTGATTTACCCTTGCTTGTTATGCTGTCCGCTGTCATGTCAGACTTCCTTACAATGAGAAAAAAGTGGAATATGGCTAAAATTGCACACATTTCTAGTTATTTCAAGGTTAATCAGATGAAAAATATCTTGGATACAAATCAAAAGGCAATTTCAGTCAAGCATTGGATTTATTATGGAGGGGTGTTGGTTCTATTCTCAGGCTAAGTGAAATTTCTGTGTGACATGATCTCAGATATTAAGTTTAATGTTCATTTTTGCGACGGACATGCCCTTAGGCGCGTTTAGAGCTATGTCATCTACACATGGGATTTCGTCGGTTACAAACGCGCAAGTGTCCTCAACCAAATAACAGCCCAAGAAATAGTACATAAAAAACTTAAAAACTTCCATATTTAGCCTTTTCAATTTCGAAATTAAGTTATCCAACTTAAATTATGAACGTATTTGATTGATAAAAACGTTGTAGCCCCCATAGTATTATTAACAATATGCAAATAACTAATGAAACGATTTACGGCTGTCGAAAAAGAAGGACAGCAAATTATGCTATAATTAAGGAGTAAGCTCAGTAATTCAAAGAAATTATTAGTAGGAAATAAATATTTCACCACTCAACATTTTTATGAACAGATCAAAAGTTTTTTGTTAAGTTATTCAGGGAATTTGGTATCGGGACTGAAGGACAAACACTGAAAATAACTCAAATTTGTTGTTTCCATAAATTCTTAACACTAGTTTGCACTTTGCTTAGTTAAAATAAATCATAATTAAAGAAATATAATGCCTGAATTGAACAAATTTCAAAAATTATTCAATATTTGTTCAAACGAAATTTCAATGCAAGCTATTACCAACTACAATGTGTGATTTGGAATAATTTTTAAAGGTTCTTTTACTATTTTTAATGATCTGAATTAATGTACCTATTGAAATAATGCAATTGTATAGAAAAATTGATATAAATTTCTTCACATAGGCTACTTGACTTAAAAAGAGATGTTAATATTAAGTCGAAACTAGCCTATGTGCATTTTTTTTTGCAGATAGACTAGTTTCGCATTGAGCAAATATAGCCTTTTTAGATACAATAGTATGGCAAATATGTTTTGTGTCCTTAACTATGCACAGGAGAAGGAAGATTTAAACACATAATATGAGGACTATTAAGACTTTTCAGAATCTGTAAAAAAGACCTTTTATGAAAAAATGTCAGATAGACTACTTTCGCGTTGACCCCTCGAAATATCAAAACCTCAATTTACCGATCTATTTGTTTATAGTTATTTTTTTATTATTCTAAGACAGACACTCATGATTAGGTGATAAAAGATGTTTTAAGACTTATCTGTTAGAAAGACTGTAGTGAGATACTAGACTTTATTCTATATGAAATATTATTCCATATTGTCATGTTTTTTTATATAGGTGGTACTTAATTAAGCTTATGGGATTTTTCAGAGAAACGATAAAGATTTACTTTATACAAAAGATTATCGTGGTAAATCAAATCGAATGCCCTTTCAAAGATCAAGAAATACGGCTCCAACTATTATTCCACAATCGAGATAACTTAGCCTTTATTTTTTTCTACAGCCGGACTATACAATTTCCACACTCTGATGTGTGATATATAGCATATTCATGACAAAACAAACACATTTTGTTTTTATTTTATGCCTAATAAACAAAAGCAATTTTCGACAGTTTTCAGAGAGTGTGATCTTCGATAATGTAAAACGAATATATATATTTATTTCATCCAAAGGAAAATAAAGTCCGTTTCGGTACGATTATGATTGAAAATATGTCTGACAACAATTTCAAATTTAAATATGCCCACTGATGTACAATTTTAAACTAATCCGACTTAAAAGTCATCAGGTTGACATTTTGTACTTTCGGGTTTCTACAAACATAATAATTAGAATATAAATAATGTATAAGCCCTCCAAGACAGGGGCCACATCACGTCATCTTGAGCTGATAGGATTGTTTACTTTTATATCTATTGAAATTACTTATTTTAAGTGGACTTTTACTTGATATATTGAAAAAAAATTAAATACTATTTGTTTACATGTTTAGTTTCTTCGCGTAGGTTAGACTCGTACTGCTTATTTGAGGTCCTTAGCCGAAAACTGACGAAAAAGGCCGAAAAGTTGCGATTGGCATATTTACTGCAGACG